ACAGATTTTTCTGATATTTCTATATGCTAGAATCATTTTGGCAAATTTTTCCATAAATATGGTTCTCTCTCACAGTTTGGAAAGCAGGTAATCTTAAACACAACTGCATCAAAGCCTAGATTGACTTTTTTAGATTGATTTAAAAATAACAAAAGTTCAATTTCAAGTTCTCTTTCAATACAACTGTTTCATTGTATGCCTTTCCTTTGTCTTAAGAATACAGTACCAATAGACTAACTTTTAGCTGTAACTTTCAAATCTCCTAAGACAAAGGGAGTGTAAATCACACTTGAGGTACAATAAGAGGATTAGGCTGAGTATTCACACACAGGTCTCTTACCAATTGCTTCTTTCTATACTATCAAATCAACCAATACATTAGACTCTACACAGAACAAAGAGTATATTCTGTTTATTTATCACACAGATCAACAAGCCAATATGGATATTAGATCACAAAGAAAGTAGCCCCTGGAGAATCCACTCAAAATTAGAAAGCTGATTAGACCTAATCTGTTTAAATAAAATAGGGTTTTGTTTAGGCTCTTGATTTTTACTTTTTCTTTTATTTAACGTGATTTTGTTATCATTCTTTAGATATTTATTAATTTTTTTTAGTTTTTGATTGCTGTGATTGTCTTAATGTGAAATTTTCAGATCTCAATCTTGTTTAGCTTTCACAATAAATGAAAATTCAAATTTGAGTTGATCATAATCTTTGCAACATCATTATTATACTGATACACTTCATTGTATTGATATATAACAAATACGAATCAAACATTTTGTCTGTCTGTGTCACATGACTTTTTCCACAAAATTTAAACTGGATATGCTATACATTTTGTCTTACTTTGTTGTTACTACAGTAATCTGCAAATAAACCAGTTGCTGGGCTTGAACTTCAGGATTGTATGGGCAAAACATATTGAAAATGTCTTTGTCTTGTTGAAACTATGTAATGAAAATTATGGACACCAAAGCAGTCAGGTAGCGCATCTAGGTATCTTTGTGGTCTCTGTGAATTTAGAATTCAGCAGTTGCCATAATACAAGTTTTTGCAAGTGAATTTATTTTATTAACAAATCAAGTTCTTATGGCAATATGCATCATGATCACCATAATCAACTTTTTCACATTTTTTTGGTTTGAAATGACCTTCCTCGACTTTTTTCATTTTACAATTTGTCCCCACTGACTGAAACAGACTTCTAATACAGAATTCAACCACTCAAACAATAATTCTAATAATTCAGCCATGATGGTCCAAACAAGTATCTGATGTGACCAAATAATATCACAAATACCTGAAAACTCACACATACGTAGAATCCTTATGTCATCAGACGACTCTTCTTTTGATTACGTATTATCATCATGAAAACATTACAAGATAGCACTATTAATTCCAGTATCTTGGTTGCTGATTTTTGACAATCATTACAAGTTTACATTAACAACATTAAATGGTACTGTTAATTATTTTTGTTTGCTATTTTTACTGAAAGAATGATTCATCATGAATACCATACTTTACAAAAGTATTAGTATTTCATAGTTTAAAAATTACCAACAATGAACTTCTAGCATAGTAATGAAAAACAGATACAATATTGACGAATCCAAATATTGTTTGATGCTCCATAATATCATAAATTAAAAATGTTGGACACACAATAATATTTGTTAGATGAAAAATCATAAACAGTAAAACACATGCGCAGACATTATGTGCATACCAATACAAACATAGCACATCCTGCGTATGGAGAATGTCATTGTTTCATTGAATGATTTCTCAGACATGTGCAACAAGAACATCGGGGCTAATCTGCACTGGCTCGGAAGGTTGTAAATGATTAACTAGTTTGAATTTGCATAACAATACTGACAATGAACGTGCATTCAACGCCACAAGTTTTTTTGTTTTTTTAGCCAATCAGAATTCATCTTCCGAGCCAGTGCAGATCAGCCGGAACATCGGTTTCAGTTCATGATGAATAAAGATGGAACGATTCATGCACATTCAGCACCGTAACAACAAAACTAAACAATATATGTTCTCGTCCATATTGCATCTTTGACTCCACACTAGATCTCAAATAATCCACACATAATCAGTCACTCAATACAACTGACTCCTGGGAGCATCCATCAATCTCTGACATTTTTAACACAGACCGATGAACGTTTAATGTGTATTAAAACAATGCTAAGCGACCACCATAAATGTCACAGGTTAAGCTTCAGGCCCACTCATTCATCACATACCAGTCTCCTGTTTCTATTGTCTTCTTCTATTGTTTTAAAAATTCTGCATCAACTGCCTCTGGTAAAGTACAGTGAAATGATGGAAGAGTGAGGGTTATGGAGGCCTGTAATTATGCTGTGATTTGTGGTTCACTCACAAGGTTACAGTCATTTTGTTAACTGCTACACCACAATCGCTACCAACGTTCAATTCTAGGTAGTGCTGTGTGTAGAACCATTCTGCAAGATAACTGGTTATATAAACGCATCTCTAATAGGACTGCCTCATTAACAATGCGACTTAATTTGACCAGACACACATCTGTGAAAGTATGTATGCTACTGTTTGAAAAAATACAGTACTATATATACAATACAAGGACTTACTAAGAATGCAATTTTGGTTAGAGCACTTACCTAATCTGAGTTATCAAAATATCAACATATATCATGAGTGACAATTTCCTCCCTAAGTTTGGAACATATCCATTGACTATTACCCAAAACTCTTTGTTGGCTATGATCTTGCTACTGTTTTGTTTTCCAGTGTAATCAAACCACACCAATAATATCCACTATGCAGTGAGAGCTGAGAGTTGTAGCTTTTCAAAAGCCAGCTGATATTGACACACTCGCATAAATTTCATGGAAGTATACAGCTTTTATAAAACAACATCTGAAATACTTGCACATAAATAACAATTTTTAATATGTTTCATGGTGAATGAATTATATTTACTTACACTGCCCAGCTGTTCTGTTTTTATGACAACCGTAGTAGTGCCAGCCACAGAGCAACATACCCCGAAACACAGCACAAAATTATTTCGTCTACAAGTTACAACTGTATCTTGGTTGTCATGACAATGATAGACAAACATGGGGGTGATGTGTATTCTACCTATAATTTATTTGGCAAAGCGCCCACATTCAATATTGTCACTCAATATAAAACTGTTAAATAAAGTTACAGAACAAATCTAAACGTTTCATCAACCATTGTAACGCATGAGCTGCGGTCTTTGTCAAAGAATTACCACAACTAAATCCCTTGCTCCCAACAAGTTATAAAACCCAAAGTCAAAGTTGCCATTAATTTATAGAAAAGAGGTTCCGGTAATATATTCACACCATATAAAACACACTGAAACTTTCAGGTGGTTGGATAGAAGCCTTTCTTAGCAGGCCGCTATCTATTTTACTTACTTTACATCTATGTACTTGTACTATACCGATCCATTGTTGGAAATCACTGCGATTTACGAGTTACAAGGTTGAACTAGCTCCATATCTAATTCTACCAATAAATGGTCCCATGTAAAACACCTTCCAAGGTCTAATCACCCAGTAAACCAGACCAATATATTTTTACACCAACACCAAGTTCAAAAAGATATCTTTATTTCTCTGTTATCTAAGCCATAAACATTTCAACAGTCATGAATTTGTGTGGGCCAACTGTTCCTTTAATAATCTTTTAAATCAATACCTTGAACACAGCTTAGTCAAACAATAATTTTCCTTAACATTTTTTTGGAAATGTTCACATGTGAATAAGTGTGTGTAAAAGGAATTCATAAGATTTATTTTTTGGGGACAAATTATTATTATTGACAGAGTTTCTAGAAACAGATTTTCAAGTGCACATTTGATCAGATCATTATTTTTTGTTTACAGTAGCTAGTTTGTAATCTCATTTACTGCAGGTTATTTGAGTGTTAAACTGCCATAATCTGTTGTTTCCTGTTTTTATAAAGCTATTTTACACTGGCATATGACCCAAACAATGAACACCGTTATCTCCCGTTTTCCTTCAGCCAGAAATGAGAAGTCGCACCTTTTTGACGCTTGAAGGGAAACACATAAAATGTATTTAATTATTTTTCTCCCGACTTTTTTGATGATTCCGATGTTAAGAGTTAATTAGAAAGTTTAAATTCATGATCAAAGATTGAAAAAGACCGACAAGATTATCGGGGTTCCAATCGTAACAACTAAATCGATGATGTCACGATCGTACCCAGTGGCGCTCGAAATGCTAGTAGTAGATGCTGCCAGTATTATTATGACACGCCGACAGCCAGCCAGTAATCACGCAATTCGAAGTAACTCTACGAGCAATTCATGGTGAAAACGAAAATGGGAGTAAGTAAAAACTACGGTTGGCGTACCACATGTGGATATCACTGTTGGCATAACACAGGATCATAAATCAAACAGCAGCCTTCTAATTTCCTGCCTTGCGGGCGATCGAAAAAAAAAATTGTATAACTGTAACAAAAATATTGTGCTACACTGAACAAATCGAGCCTGTAACCACAAAACATAATACAGAAAATCTCCAAACATATTTGTTTTACCTCAACTTCAGTGCACATGGAGCGAAGCGTCGCATACCATGAGCAAGACATGAGAAGAACCGTAAGCAAATAGACTTTTTGTGGGAACAGCCCGGGCTGTCATAAAGTCATTGTCGGGCGGTACTTTGAAAGTAAATTACTGACGTAAAGTTAATTAAATTATTATCAAAGACAAAAGAGCAAAGCAGCCGCCTGGAATAGGACTTACTGAGTATTAGAGGTTATAATACCAAAAGAAATCGAAACCCTTTGATTTATAAAAATAAGTTTACGCTAATCCACGACATGCACATCGCGACGTTACCCAGCAAAAGATGAGAATCACGACTCGCGAATGTTACTCGCCGGAAACAAGGAATATTCTTCTAAAAAAAAAATTATTAAACTTACGTCTAAATTCTCCAGTTTTAAATGACTTCCGAGTCTGATGACAGAAATGGGTCCACATTTTGGGTAAAAACTGGTGCCCGGTAGAAGCGTCACCGCCGAAAATATACTCGGTCGTGACCGAAACATCGATCCATCGTCTGCAGCTTGGTAAGTGTCGTCATCGAACTTCTCGCAGACAGCAAGGCCGTTTGGTAACAGAATACATGTCTCCATCGTTGAATTTATTATTGAAGTTCTCCTGAGTGCCTTAACTGCGATGTAAAACAGAGGATTAGTGATGACTCTCGCTATTACAGGACTCTCGTGTCTCCGTTCCCTTGCTTGTCTTGTGTGTCGTGTGTATGCAAATCAGCTGACTTTGCCGCAAACTTTCGAATCCCGGATTCGTCCACTTGTTTATGGGGGTTCAGCTTGTATTGGATGTGTTGTAATTTTTGTTCTTGGGCGCGCCTTGTGAAAAACGACACACAAGTGGATTATTTTGATTTTAGAGCTCTGTAGGAATAAAAGAGACGAGTGTTTATTTAAAGTCGATAGTAGAACATTGTACACTATCTAGAGATACACTGCGTTGGTATTTGGGAGAAAATGCGTGGACGATGATTGTGACGATGGGGCGGGGCATATAGTGTTTCACGGACTGGTCAGCAGTGCAACGTCCAATCAAAGACGAAACATGGCATTAGCATACTTGTAAAATAATAGCAATTTCTCAAAACCTGTCGTAGATAGTGTTATATTGATATGCGTGACATTCCATGGAAACCAGATTTGTTCAATAGTCCACTCTTTTTCCAAAAAATGCTGAGAAAATTCGAAACCTAATTGCCCCTCATCTCCACTGTTAAGCGTTTATATTCACCTTTCACTTTCTTCAAGTTAGCGCTCATGTACGACTGTCAAAAATGGAATAAAATTTGTAACACACAAATTATTCAAGGTAATTATGTTCTATGAGTGGGTCTAGGTCAGAGCACCGAGTCGGACACAAGGCGACTGTCACAGTGATCTTTCGTGTCATTCGTAACATCTATGCAACATGGTTCAAAATGTCTTCAAAATACCGAACATGAAATCGTAGAATTATCTCACCTGCCGAATTTATGTTATGCGAAAACTATCTGGTGTATATGGTGGGTTTATTATAACGTTCCACTGTGGGTCACTTCAGTTGGTCTACATGCTTCATATACTGCCCCAAATAAATAAATACGCCGCGATGATGTTTTACTGGCCATACGCCTTGGGTCTGATGTACGTGTAGATGAAAATAAATTGGTGTCAGTGGACGGGCATAAGCGAATGTTCGAACCTGATCACTGATATCAATTTCTAATCAGAAAAGACCACTGTTTTTATCAGGTAGCAGTTTATTTCAACCTAAAACTATAACTTTTTGAATAGTTGCTTTAAGTTTATCTTCGTGGCGACTGAGTAATCAGATTGTGAAATATCCGTATTTTGTAAAAGAACAGCACGTAACGTACGGAGACCGAAACGACGGGTATAATATTGGTAGACTGGTCAATATCTGACAGTATAGTGAAAAATGAAGCTAGTTGTCAGGCAAGTGTGACAAAAACTGTGTGCTCACCGTTTGTTTTCCATGTAAGCTGTATGATACACAGTGTGTCACGGTGCCGCGTGATGGTTTTATATTTTGGTGGGACACGGAATCTATTAGGACTGGTCGTTCATAATTGTTTCACAGCTGTGGATTTTGACACCCCGGGTTTACATTGGTGTTCTTTTGTAGTTCAAACATCAGACTAGTAATACAATTATTACTAGTATTACTAGTCTGAGTTTAAACCCACCCCACCCCCACACACCATGCAGAGACGGTGGCACGAAATTTTGCAAGAGGGGCGAGATCTGAAATCTAGACCCTCTGAAACGCTATTTCTTTATTTTGTGGAGCAAATTTTGCTTACACAAAGGTTTTTTTTTCGGGTGGGCGACCGTCCCCTCTGCCTGCCCTACCCTCCCCCGTGCCGCTGCCACTTACATGGGGAGGCCGTTTCACGCACTGAAGTTGCGGGTCTAACGTGAAGTGCTTCGTGGACGCGCAGCCTATACTCACAGACTACATACGCAAGGCAAAATATTAATATTATTCTGTAATATCAACAACTTACTACCGTGTTTCAACTCTGAACTCGGACAACTAGTATAAGAATGTGTGAGCGCTGGAACAGAAAAATGCCGCTTACCGGCACCGATTAGGCTTCAATAATGCGACTAGAGAAGCTACCGTTATCTTGCTAATTTTTGGCTTCAGACCAATATTTTCGTTGACTCGGGTAAATCTCTGCTTAGTGACAAAACGTGCCCATCTTTGGTTTTGTTCTTTGTAAATGTGTGTACAGTCGAAGTAGGTACTCGAGACAACGATTATCTTCAAGGTGAAACCAAAAACAATAGCGGTTGACAAATTAGGACGACAAACAATGAAGTTATTGTTTCGTGTACTAAGTATAGGGTATTACACCAAGAGTGAGTTTGGTGTCATCTGCCACACGGTTTTTTAGTAACCGTGTCTGCCACAACGTGTTTACTGGGTGCTGTCAAATAAATGGTTTCCGTGGTAACTCCTAAACTCTAAATTACACATAAAACAAAACTGGAATAACGAGTCTATGAAAACTTTAAATAAGAATTGTATTATATCCGACTCGACGTTTTTTTTTTCGCCCAACATACACAAATGAAATACTAGTAGTTCGGATTGAGTCGATGCTCTTTCTTTTGTATGCATTTCATGGGCTCAGCAAAACGAAACGCAAATATTTTCAAATTTTTAAATCCACCACACAACACGAATACCTGCGACAGTGGTTTTATACATGTCTCTTATATTTACCATTGAATCTAAGTATTACTGAAACCAATGAATTGTGCTAGTGAGTAACAACACTGCCATGCTGTAACAGTATGGCGGGGGTCTTGCCGATAGTCAGCCTCGAAATAAATTACTCATTTCACGAAAAATATTTCTGAAAAAATCAAAGATATATCAATGACTTTCGAACTTGAATATTATTTTAATTTTAATTAACAATATTGATTCTAGTTGAGTCCAGAAAACGACTTGCACATTATCTGTGAAACAGTTTCTAAATATCGCCGGGCGATTTTTTTCTCGCGATACTCTGTACAGGAAGCAGCGTATGCAATTCGGTTCTTATTAGCGGCGATTGTAACGAACAATCTTGACTGGTTCATGTCTCGGCGTTGAAACATTATAGTTATTTTTCTATCATCACGTATCTGAGTTAACACTTATTATGTTGTCGAAAGCTTCCGGTATTCTGTTTACTCCCATCGGGTTATAATTGGTTTGTTTTCGGAAACATGACGATCGCTTTTCGTGTATTTATTATTTTAGTCTTTATCCACGAGTTTCAAGTTCATCCATCTTCGCCAACCAATGTTCGTTTATTCGTTAATCAGTCACATCACTTCTACCATAGCTTGCAACTTGAAAGCTGTGCGATTCGAGACGATGTGATCGGAGGTGTTGATGGGTGAACTTTGTCACGTCTTGTATTTGTTGTTATGGGCGTGTATAGTATCTGAGTGGGTATTATCGTACACTCATGCTGACATGACGTGACACCTGGTTTGAAACACTGCCCCCCCCCCCCCCACCGTGTTGAGTGACGGTGTTTGAAACCGAGAGAGCGTCTTACATGTCAGTGACCGAATTCTGTCAGAAGTGCGCAGGCCATCTTGCGTGGAAGTCAAGTACAGTTTTCTGCAACCCCTTTACATGGCCAGTTGATTTAAGAACAGATTTGTTTGTGTTCTGAGAGTGGAGCGAAAGGGAGGGGGTACTGCTATCTGAAAGCCGTAAATACATGTCTCGCCAGATAACTTTTCGGAGCCGAAAAGCTGAAGGGATTCCCTCCGGTGCCGGTAGGTGATCGAAGCCCAGGTGTTCGACGCACCATGGTTGCTAAAATGTCATACCATACAGCAACATTCTGAGCAAAAACAGTGTTTAAATGAAGCCGGGCCGGTACCGATAACCAACACTGATCAACACATTAAACGGAGGGTAGATAAAATCGATTCCAACTAAGCATGGATACAGTATACAGTTAATACGACGAGGGAGCTCCCTGATACGACACGCTTGCATGCACACAGAGACCGCCATAGTGAGCTGTCAAGTCAACGTCGTGACAAATTGCCCAAAGAAGACGCCGCTACTGCTATATCCCTTACATAAAGTAATTCACAATCCTTGAAGTCTTCTATGTTTTCCCGAGAAAGATAACGAACTTCTTTCGGATAAAAAAAATGAAGCGAACGACGGGTTTGTAGACTTGATTTCCATTCTCTTCCCCAAGAGCGGCTGTTCCTGTTTGATATGCCGCCCTCTACGGTTAGACTGACCGTGGCAATTTTTTGTCAAATCTTAGTCTCATTCTCGCTCAAACTCGTTCATAAAAAGAATTACCATATAAAACAATAGAAATTGCCACTATGAGCCAGCCTACTCAACGTATTTGTTAGTATGCTACGGGACACGCCATGACCACAAGCCGATCGCTGGGAGTCACAGTAGAGCGAGCGCGGCAAAGATACTGGAACAGAGTAAAATGGGGTTGATGCTCTTCGAACATTCGGACGCTAACACACTCAGGTAGCGTTTGTGCGGGGTTTGGTTGACTAAAACATATAGGAATTGTCTATAATACTAGAATAGGGTTGATTTATAAAACAATTCTGCGGAAAAAAAAAAATGGAAAAAAAAATCTAAAAGGAAATTCAGTGGGAAAAACAAACTCGACGCATATTGGTAAATGAAAGTAAGAATAATTTACAATAGAATCATCGTTAACAATTATAAAGCTCATAGTAGTAATTTTACAAACTTGTTCAACTATCTCGCATTCCAGAGTTTCTAAAGGCCAGTTATGATAACCACCCTTGGACGCACACACTGTAAAATTATACACTAACATGGGAGTTTTGGTAGTATACTGAATTAGATTTGTTTCCAAGAAAAACAAACCGAACAAATCACGATTGTTTATCACTTTAATGTCAAGAGTCTCATTTCAGGGCAGTCTTTATATTTCAGGCTTGTTACTTATTTCACCTGCTACACATTACTTCCCAGAATTGACAACTACGTAAATTCATACATTTTATTTTCAATTTAAATTTCCAGAGCCTGAAAATTTTAGAAAAATGCGCTGGACCGGAAATGTGTTGCCCATAATTTTGAATAAGCGCATAGAAACTGTCCTACGTCTCTTTTTTTAGGAATGTGTTTATAAACTTTTACTCTTTTTTTGTCTTTTGCTTTAAGAACTTTTTTATGGTGAAATTTTATCAATTCTAAACTAAGAGAGTTGTAACCAGTGTGTCCGCCAATGGGGTCAAAACGGAATACCCTAATTCATTCGCGTCAGCTTGTTGACTGCTGGAGGGGGGGGGGGAATCTTCAAGACTGTATTGGTAACTGGAGGCACAAACAAATATACCGTGGTCCCTAGTTTCCTCGTTAGTCTTAGTTCGTTTATGAAATATGAATTTCATTTTAACAAATTACAAATTCAATAACTATAGTAAGTTGTTTTCAAAAACACTATATATTATATTAACATGCAATTTTCTATTGCGACGCGCAAGTGAATAAGCACAACTATAGTGGCACACTGATTATATATATAATTGGATTTTTTATCCGTGTTTATCCGTTTCTCACTTTCGATGTTGCACCTAGAACATATTTGCAATTTATCGTTCTACATGTTTAAGTTTTATTTTTTTTTTTGGTGTGTAATTTCCTGAATTGAGCATATTCTCGAAATAAATAAATAAAAATATTTACTGTATATCTTTCATTTTCATTCATTGCGTTACTGATGCCACGTAGATGCGTGCTTTCTGTGCCCATGTCATGTTATTCACCCTCCCCTGGTTTACTCCTAGTTTTCAAAGTTGGTTGCATCTGTGTTTGTAATCAACGATATTGATGGTTTCTTTCACGCAGTAAAGCCACAGTATCACTCGTTTTACAAATTCATGTCAGACAGACACAAACACGATTCAAAAATTCATTCAGAACATTGAATAGCTAGACGACCATTTTGTCAATCCCTATTTATAATGCCACCAGCAAGTTATTAAATTAACAAACTGCCCATCGTCCGCTCGTACGGCATCTGTTTAACTAAGTTGCAATTCAAGATGCGGTGCCAGCCATGAATTTACATGACACACTTGTTCATGGTCCCGGACTTTCATTTCCACCGTATTCATGTTTACTTTATTGAACCACAGTCCCTCTATCCTGTGATTGAACGTTTCAAAGGGGTTGTCTCGTCGTGATTTCGCCCTCTACAGGTACATGTTAGTTGAAAGATAGATTACAAGCATTGTGTCAACACAAGTGGCGCTATTCAGCACAGGGTGGTTTGCGGCTCTCCGGCGATATTGGAGATCTGCGCGTCAATGGATTCAATGGATTACGAGTACATGTGTAAATAGCGCCCTCAGTAGTCAGTTTTATGAGGGGAAAAAAACAACTTTTATTCTTAGTGTGTACTCCAGTTTGATTTTCCAACTCTGATACCAGCTGTGCGTCCATGGATCTTCTTGTGCAGGTCTTTAGATGGTATTTTAATCATTTCTGATACATTTGTTTTCATTAAACTTGCTATTTTCAGACATCCAAATTTTTATGGACACAGAAGAGCTATTGTTCCTCCCATAGACTTGCATAAAACAAACATTCCATGTAATTTGGCCATTGTGTAGATGCAAGTAATTTCTGCATACAAAAACATTGTGGTCACTAATTTTCTTCATTCTCTCACATATTTAGAAAGATATTTTCCAAAGTAACTTTACCAATGTATGATTTTCAATTGAGTGAATGATGTAGGGGAAATGAGCATCTATGACATACATGTATATTGTCTTAGAATGAACACTGTTGTAGTGAAAGGTCAAGTTCACAAACTAAAATGTTTGAATTGAACAACCATGCCAAGTACATATACACTGTACAGTTCAAGCACACACGCATAATTTAACTTCAAGGCAGCCTAACTTTGCTTTTTCATAATAATTATTTACCTTTATAATATGAGCAACTATTCATAATACTTTGTGGTATTTTGATTCACACCATGTGTAATTGTTTGACAAGTGTTATTTTTATCACGCCAGAACACAACTACATGTACATCCTCAGATATAACATCTTTTTTTTTTTCTCTGCATCATCGTGCCAGTGATGGTTACTTTGTATTATAAACTCAAGAAATCATCGATATTGACAACTTGCAGTATTTTACTTGTTTTTAACAAGCCACAAATAGTAGAGTCGGCAAGATGACGTCTTTGTTTACTTCCCCCCCCCCCCCCCCGAGTGATTCCATTTCTAAATATAGATATTCTAGTTATGTACACATTTCAAATTCCTATCAAATTTAAACATTGAGATTCAAAAAATATACACTACTATTGGATATATTGTGGGTCAATAATTCGGCAAAGCAAATCATTAATTTTTGACAGTAATTTCTATATAAAATATTTTAATACTCTACAATATCGAGTATGTGTCATGAAGTATGTGCTCTCACGGATCTCTGCCACTACTTCACACTTATCTCTTTCTCATTTTTATTTTTCGCAATTTATACAGTTGTACATACGTTAAAAAGGTCATTCACGACTAACTATGGCAATATGTGCTGGAAAAAAAAGCAACATTGCCTCGCACAATTATTTAGAGAGTATGCTCAATTCGGGAAATTATTCACCAAAAAAATAACACTTGCATGTAAAAATAGTAACTGCAAATACTAGTATATATTTGGACATACGTTCTAGGTGCAACATCGAAAGTGAATAAAGGATAAACAAGATCCTATTTCTAATCAGTGCACCAATAGAAAACATATTGGCAGATCCTTCTCCATTTTCACAATATTGTTGTTTTGGCAGCTATCTTCAAACCAGATAAATGTTAAGTTATGCTTGGACTGTGCATGCATGTATGGAGTGACAAATTTATTGTCTTAATTGTAACATCTGGACATCAAATACCTACATTTTTATTTTGAGAATGTACACAGGGTTAAAACACTCCATTATTTAATGATTACTACACAGGAGTACCCTTGTTCTCCGGGGATATAATTTTGGCTTTAGCATCCTTAGTGTCTACTTTAATTTCCTGAGACTCCCTAAGTTCCTCAGATTTTGGTAGAGTGGTAGGATTCTTTATTCTCACATCTTGATCTATTATACCAGTATAGTTGTATTCTATTCCCCAAGGGATTGTTTTTGCTAAATCCAACGCTTCAGTCTTTTTCACCTCTTCTTTAACTCCATCCAGTAATATATTAACCAGCCAGCCTGGATTTTTCTTTTTCGGAGGCTGCATTGGAGGAAATGGATTCCCAACAAACTCTAAGAATACCATGGGTGAGGCTCTTGGATGCAAGTGCATGCCACGCTCTCCCACCTTCCACAGTTTAGTGTAGTTGCCATTGCGGCTTTCGTATCTGGGAACCAAGACTTTGAATAACTTGTGTACCAAGTCATTTTCCTGAAAACAAAACATATTGTAACAGTTAGTAAAACAAGACCCTTATTGATGGATAATGTACAGATATATATATATATATATATATATATATATATATATATATATATATACACACACCGTACTTCCCCCGAGTATAAGCCCACCCCTCTGTTTTTGAACATTAAACGAGTTGAGGGCATCCCCGAGTATAGGCCCAGGGTGTTTTTACCGGGCGCCGACGACATTTATTAAAACATGCATGTCAAAAGTGTATTTCATTGCATAAAAATCATGATTGATACGGTAGTTTGGTTCCAGTTTTTAAGAGAAAACTCGCATTAATTACAGTGTGCACGGCGGGTGAACATACGTGATGGTACATAGTTCGCACGTTTTCTATTCTGTTATTTACTCGGGATGAACGCCGATGTTGCAATACTGAAATAATCCATATTTCTTTAGAGTATCAGTTTACCAAACGTGAAACCTGGTCACTGATCATCGTTTTCATTTTCTGAATAATCTTGTCTATTGAGACTATCGTGAATATTTATAGTAACAGGGAAATTTTATCCAACATAATCCTGAAAACAAATTTAGAATGAAGTCAAATGACCTCGAGTGATAACCACAATGGAACGCAATGTGATGAAATGCGCGTTATCTATTTTTATCTATCACAGTATTTTGTGAAAGGTGCAATTAAAGCTTTGGTCCCATGAAGCAGTCTGGACTAATTTGCATAAATATTAAATATTAATGTAACTATTTGTTGTTTAAAAAAAGTAACATGACCAGTATATTAAAAGCTGTTTTGATAAATTCCCACAAGAAACATGCACACGTCATACAAATAGCATTGTGCTTGTGCAGTAGTGCAACAACAAACAATAGTGACTGAAGCAAGAAACCTTTTTTGTGTGTCATTTGATAATTTTTCCATCAACTATGATGGCATGTTATTCATATATTTTTACAAGCTGTGCATGTGTCCTGCTCCTAATCAGTAAAAAAATAAACAGTTTCAGGCATGTAATACCAAATTTTTGTCTCAGTTAACTGCATCATAGTGAATTTTATTTAAAGTTGTTTAGACTGATGTATATATATCTCCTAATTTATTTGTTACTTTTGATAATTTAATTGAATCTTGTCTTGTGCGAATATTTCACAGTGTGGTTTTCCTCCTGTCATCACATTGTAATGTATTTGGAGTTGACATATAAACACCCTACAATACTTTAAAATACTTTATTTTCGCTTGGAATTCATTTTCACTATTTTCGCTGATTGAATGATTAAGTGAAAATAAAATCCAGAGAATATACCTTTTTTCCTATATTTCACATTCCATACAAAACACCCAGCAAAAATTAATTCAGGCTAAAATAAAGTATTTTACAGTACCTGAGACTATTTAGACAATATTGACCAAACAATGGCATACACTCAATGTACAGACAACTTCCTACATTCACAAACTGCCTACCCTTAAAAAATTTATACGAAAAATTACATACCGCCAGCCAGTCATTTGCAATACCCATATGTTTGGGGTCTTTGTATCCTCTTTTGGCAAATTCAATTAGCTGTGAATATAGAAGAAAATAAGTTCACTCAAATTAATTGTTGTTGAAAGGCTTTTGAATTTACCATTTTCACTAATCTCCAAGATAATTGAAAGATCTATAACTGTTTGATTTATTGAAAATTAACACTTTGACTGTGAGTATCCATTTGTTGGTACCGGTATACAGTCGGGTCATTCCAGTTTTTGTCCACACCCTCCCTACGGATGGATATTAACGTTATGACATCGTATGGATTCATCTACCATTAGTGTCGGATTTTTGTTA